ATCACTTAAGTCTACAGAAATATCATGCAGACTGTGAAACATATGAAATACTGTAATAATTGTGAAAATTACCAGCTGTCGAACAAATGAACACGTATCGGGTTCCCTGTAATCAAATCCTGGATGTGAACAGTTCCGTGTTGAAAGGGGCGCTAAGGAGAAAAGTCGACCTAATCGAGCTGAATGCCAGTTAGTCATTTTAATATTTTGGGCTGAAGCATTTATCCAACAAATTATCTATGGATTGTATCCATCAGCCAAGTAGTATAAGAATAATCCAACGTAGGTGCCTCAGCAGTTACATACAGTATAAGCAATGGTGATTAATTCTGACATGCAACACTAATTATGTGTGTATATATATTCCCAGAGATAAGGCTGGTAAACGCTACTATATTGGCTTACCGCACTGCTGCAGGGAATATCCTTCACTTTGAGCCAGGCCAGATCCAGCGTGCCCTCTCCTTTGTAACAGGACTGCAGCCTGTCTTTAATTTTCTCATTGATCTCCTTGAGGGCAAACACGCACAAGGCCGACTCTTGAGACGTTTCCTTTGGCCTCCTCTTCTGGCCTTTGGAGAACACAGCATAAAGGATGTCATCATCCGGTCCCACACTCAGCGAGCGAGCCAGGATGGCACCTGCCTTAGACAAGTAGGCAGCCTGGAGAAGGCGATACTCCACACCACCCTTGACACAACCAAGTGGAACTTCCACATACGAGTTGAACGCCGTGTCGTCCTTGCAGAGTCGCACCAGTTTGGAAGTGAACACCTGTTCCCGGTTGGCCGAGGACGAACCCGCAGCTGGACCACCGCCCATCTCTGGCTGCAGTGTTAGGAAGTAGACGAAGTTGCCACTGGCGAAGCCATACACGTAATATATGTCGAAATCAGGCACCACGGTAAAGGTGTCTGACGGGATCTTGATCATGGAGGCCACAAACTCATCATGGAAGACGTAGGCGAACATGCCATCCTCCTCTGAATTGCGAGCCAGTTTGCGACTCGAGATGGTCGGGAAGTACTCAGGCCTCCCGTCCACTGCCGTGGCCACAAACAGCTTGTCAGGTGAGGAGTCACCATAAGACACGATGACGCCAAAAACGGAGTCACTCTCATTGACACCCGAGAGGTAATGCTCTTTCTTGTGAAAGGGCTCTCCAAGCTTGAAGAGGTCGTCCAGGCGAAGCAGCTTGCAGATACCTTGGTAGAGGCTCCCGCAGGCTAGCAGCCGGTTTGCTCTGTAGTCAATTAGTAGCATTTTATTGACATTGTTGGTGAGCGTCAGTGGCTCACTGCAGGGCTGCACGATTCGCGGTGGGTAGCAGTTGCGGTTGTCGTCCTCTGGGCCGGTTTGGTGCGACACCAGCACGTCTAGCTCTTGTGAGAGCTTATAAATGCGGTTTACCACACCGAGGTACACGTTCCCGTTTCTGTAGTCCACTGCCAAGTGGTTAAAGGTCCATTCTGGGTTCTCAGCATGGAAAGTTCTGTAATGCTCATTCACTTTGGATGCAATGGAAGGCTGCTGTGGCCTTGAGGTGGAGAGGGGAAGCAAAAAAACAAAGCAGCAAGAAACCAATAAACAGTTCAATTTTCTATGCTGGGAAGCCATTGTCCTGACAGTATGGTGCAGAAGCAGGTCTCAAGTCAAGTGTTAGCAGAAGATTGACGTTCAGGCTTGTCTTGAGTTTCAGGACATTATGGACCTATAGAAAGAGATGAAAACAAAATCGGCTCATGAGACACATGGGTTTAATCACCAGACAGGTTACACACAAACAAACAAGAATCAAAGAACAAGACTAGGAGAAAACTACCATGGTTTTGAAGCTGGAAAGATACGGCAGTAACAAAGCCTTGACTTAAACAGGGTAAGTATAGTTCAAGGTTACACCTAGTACATAAATCTGAATACGTGAAAACGTAAGACAGAAACAGTCTAGGCAAAACAACATCAGGATATTATAACTGTTTGCTTGTCCAGCCTAATTAAATAGTCATTGATTGATCATGAGATGCAGGTGTCAGTGTTAGTCTTGCAAATCTGGTACATTTCATCACAAAATTTGACCAAGAAACAGCAATTTCACTTCCTTCTCAGATAACCAACCAGAAATAACTGCTTCAAACAAAACTATTCCATACATTATGCTTAAATACAACATTCTTTGAACTTTTATCAGTCCGGTGATCTTTTTTTGTTTTGTTTTGAAAAGCATGTGTCAGTGTTTGAAATTGGAGCATGGATTTGTGGAGGGCCAATCAGATTATAACTGGCATGATCCTGAAGCTTGTGGCCAAAAAAGTGTACAAAATGCATCAAACTACAACAGAGCATTCGAGGCTAAGACACTTTTGTAGCTGCTGGGGACCCAATATTCTTTACAAGGAAACAAGTGGAGGAAAGTGTGAAGAGAGAGAGGACAAAGGAGAGCTGACCTAAGAATTCAAATGGTCCAAAGCCACATGACTATTTCCAAATTGTAGTAATAATTAAGTAGGGGTAGTAACGAGGGCACTCAGGGAGCGAACACTGCTGGCATGAATAGATGCCAGTGTCAACGGGGATAATGCAATTGCCCCAGGAATTATCAGTGCAGACGGGCACTGGTTCTCCACATGTGCCCCACCTCACAGCCAGGCCTCTAGACCACTAATTGATTTTCCCCTCTGCAAATGATTTGCACGCCTTGGCGGTTTTCTGTCTTCCCTCCCAATGCCACAGCTCACCCACTGACATTGCTAAGAGAAGAGGCGGAGAGAGATATGCAGTGTTTATGAGCAGAGGTAAACCGCTGGGCCAATTAGGGGGAAAACAAGAATGAAGGGGGGTGAAAGTGAGAGAAAAAACATTCCCTCTTCTCATTTGAGCAATTTATTTATGCATTCCTGATTGTTCCTGTGCCAGAATATAGACGTTCTCATATGCACTTACATACAGTAGATCTAAAATCAAGACTTTCTAAGAGCAAGATGTCTGACTTTGCTTCCAGTGATGGAAAGAACTTGAGTGATTGTATTTTGTGACTTTACTTAACTACTATTTCGAAAGATTTCTGTATTTTACTCAAGCATTACTGAAACTGAATAAGAGCATAAGATTTTTCTTTGATTTCTTCCCCCCCCCCTTCATACAGGATGAGGTGTCACATTTGTATCCCCTGTAAAAAATGAAATATGAACCTTTAAAATTCACCATCAATGCTAAAGGAGGATGTTGAATTAACTCTGTTTTGTCATTTAACCAGTTAAATTAGCTAGCTAGTTACGGTATGTTTTGTACATTAGTTTCTTAAATCAGCTATCAGTTAAGTTTTGTAAATTAGCTTGTTAAGTAAGCTAGTTGTTTAAGTATTGTAAATTAGCTTGATAAATAAGCTAGCTAGTTAAATAAATTAGCTTGTTAAATGAGCTCGTCGGTTAGGTTTCTGTTTTTGTTGCTAGCGTGCCTTAGCGTTCATTCGAACAGGGTTATCGAACATGATCTAAGTGCAAGCTGAATTCTAGGTTTGTATGAGTTAGCATAATATTCTCCTTATGACCGAGTGCTTAGCGAGGATTGGGCACAATGAATTCGTGGTCAGTTTGTTTTTTTTTGTTTTTTTTCAGTCACATTTTACTTTTGAATACTTCAGCATGTTTTACAGTACTCATACTTTTACTTTAAGTACAGCTTCTCTGTACCTTTCCCCACGATCATGAATGTTAATATATGTCATTACTCCACCAACCCTCCACCATTATCACATTAAAACGTTCACGCAATTCACTAAGGAAAAACCTGACATCTCAAACATCTGAAATGCCCGAATGGCCCATGAGGAAGAAGACAGAAAAGACAGAAAAAAAATAGACAGAAAAGACACATGTACAAATAGTAGCTGTTAAGCAAGCCAGCAGTCAAACGTTAGACTGGCACTTAAGTGCTGGGTGCACAGCAGAAAAGAAAATCACAGCTCAGCCACTGTAGTATGCATTTAGACGTTAGGCGACTGGAGGGCAGGCACTACACTTATGATTAGCCATTGAAACAGAAAGCAGTCGCTCACTGAGCAAGAACAAGAGGCTGGTGTGAATAACAAAAGGGTCAGCGCTGGAGGTATTCAGATGCCGAATCAATCTTACAAGGGACGTGTTGTTGTGTATAGGAGCTAGGGGCAGGTGATATACTAGCATGGGTAATTTGAGTGGTGGGCAGGTACTTTACAATGCCAATCACAAGTATTAGTAACGGCACAACGGATACAGTTTTAAAGGACAAGGAAATGGGAAAATACACTGATGAAGTGAAGGGAGGAATATGAGAATGAATGCGCGCACACACACACACAAACAAACACACACACACACACACGCACTTGGAGCAATAATGACCATGAGATTCTCTCGTGCCTTGAGAGAGTGCAGCTCTGACCCCAGCAACCCAGTTTGTTCATTATCTCCCCATCAGGCAGCTGTGTTTAGCTCCTATTTGTCTTTGCCCGCTGGTTAATTAAATCAAGAATCTCATGCCACCCTGCTCCATCAAACTGCATACTCAAATTGAGTTATACACAAATGCACATATGCACATGCACATGCACACACTCACACGCCAGGGCTTTTATGGCTGGAAATTTTCATAGTATGATATCCTGATCTAAAAATATCATGGTATTAATCAACCATTTAAACACACACAAGCGAAGAGGTGAAAATGAAAGGAAATATTTATTCGGATAGGATGAGCGGTTCAGAAAAGGGATGGCTGTCTGATACACTTTTCTGAGACATCATATATATCCATGTTCTATACCACTTATCCTACAGGGTCACGAGGAACCTGGAGTCTATGCCAGGGAGTATCAGGCACAAGGCGGGGTACACACTGGACAGGGTGTGCAGGGCACATACACCTTACGGACACTTTGGACATGCCAATCAGCCTACCATGCACGTGTTTGGACTGGGGGAGGAAACCCCCGTAGCACAGGGAGAACATGGAAACTCCGCAAACACATGGCCGCAGGATTCGAACCCCCAACCGCGGAGGTGTGAGGCAAACGTGCTAACCACTAAACCACCATGCACCCGAGTTCAGTACATGGGCACCCTTGGTAAATATGAGCAAAGAAGTCTGTGAAAAATAGTCTTTATTATTTAAACTTTTGATCGTTTGTTAAAAAAAATCACAAACTACTCTCCTCTGGATATCAAGCAATTGCAAACACAACACAGGTTTATCAAAAAATCTTAAATATAGGTGTGCAACAATTATTGGCACCCCTATGAATTCATATGAGAAAACATATATTATAAGTATATATAAGTATATTCCCATTGAAATTTAAACATTTTTTAGTACAACTAGGAGACTAGGAAAAGGAAATTGTTCAACCATGACTTCCTGTTTCACAGGGCTATAAATCTGACGTAACACATAGGCTAAATTCCCTTAGTCATTCCATAACGATGGGTAAGACCAAGGAATATAGCTGTGATGGGAAGTGACTATAAGAAAATAGCATAAGCATTGAAAAGGCCCATTTCCACCATCAGGGCAATAATTAAGAAGTTCCAGTCAACTGGAAATGTTATGAATCAGCCAGGAAGAGTTCATGCGTTTATATCGTCTCAGCGCACTGTGAAGAGGACGGTTCAAGTGGACAAAAAATCTCCAAAGACCACAGCTGGAGAATTGTAGAAGTTAGTTGTGTCTTGGGGTCAGAAAGTCTCCAGAACTACAATCTGAAGTCACCTCCAGCACCACAAGCTGTTTGGAAAGGTTTCAAGAAAAAAGCCTCTACTCTCGTCCAAAAACAAACTTGAGCGTCTTCAGTTGTCAGACACTACTGGACCTTCAAATGGGATCGGGTTCTATGGTCAGATGAAACCAAAACAGAGCTTTTTGGTAATAAACACCAGAGGTGGTTTTGGAACACACGGAGAGGTAGCCATATGGAAAAGTTCCTCATGCTCACAGTTAAATATGGTGTTGGCTCTTTAATATTTTGTGGCTGTTTTTCTGCCAGAGGACCTGGACATTTGGTTAGGATACATGGCATCATGGACTCTATCAAATATCAACAGATATTAAATGAAAACCTGACTCCCTCTGCCAGAAAGTTTCAAATGGGCCGTGGTCGGATCTTCCAGCAGGACAATGATCCAAATCATACATCAAAATCGACACAGAAATGGTTTACTGACCACAAAATCAAGGTCCTGCCATGGCCATCCCAGTCCCCTGACCTGAACCCCATAGAAAACCTGTGGAGTGAACTGAAGAGGACAGTCCACCAGTGTGGACCTCGAAATGTGAACGCTCTAGAGAGATTCTGTATGGAGGAATGCACTCAGATCCCTTGCCATGTATTCTCCAGCCTCATCAGGCATTATAGGACTCAGAGCTGTTATCTTGGCAAATGGAGGAAGCACAAATTATTGAATAAAAAAGTGCCAATAATTGTTGCACACCTATATTTAACAAAGATTATTTTTTGGATAAACCTGTGTTGTGTTTGCAATTGTATGATATCTGTAGTGTGAATTCGTGTGAGTCCAGAGGGAGAAGGTTACAAAATGTTGGGAAAAAGAGACAAGAAGTTCTTGAATAAGAAACTCAATTGGGGGGAAAATAATAATTAAAATAATGTTTTCTTTTGCAATCGTAATTTATAAAATTGTTCATTTGCAATTGCTATCTATCTATCCATCTATCCATCCATCCATCCATCCATCCATCCATCTATTCAAACACTAAGTCTGACTGGTCAGTATTGGTGGCAGCAAAACCTTCCAGGAAAAGGGCTTACATTTGGTTAATCCGCAAGGTCATTCAGATAGCATGAGTGTGTGTGTGTTCCTATGTGTGTGCGTGAGTGTGTGTGCATGAGTGTTTGTGTGCGTGTTTAGAACTTGTGATTGGCTTGTCTTGGGGTAATGGAGAGCCTTGCCAAGATGTCTAACGTCCCGAAAGCACCCGAAAAACAAGAAAAGAATGAGAAGAGACGTGTGTATGTGCAGTCATGTTGAAGCCACGTAAGCTTCTGGAAAGCTCAACTACCACCCACCCACACACACACACACACACACACACACACACACACACACAGACCATGGACCACATGCTGCGTGCACACATCGAAGAGTGATAATGAATTCATGTTTGGAGTCACACACTCAATGCTCTCACTGTGCATCTTCTGAAAATGTCAGGAAACACACTGTACAGTTCGAGATGAGCCCATGTGCTGTTGGGTTTTTTTTATACAACTCCATTGTCCTTCCAGACCAGAAATAAATAAAATCAAATAAACCCAAACAGCAAACATGGCTTTTGATAAAACTGTGAACGCTGCAGGGTATAAATGAGGACGTGTGGCAGATTGCAGAAGCGAGGGAAGCTGTGAAATAAATATGACAGAACAAAAATTATTTTTAAAAAATGTAAAAAGCAGGTTGCAGGTTGAATCTGAGGAAAATGAGAGAAAAAAATCATAATAATAATGTCATAGGTGGTGTATCTGTTTCCAAAGAACAAGTCCAATCTATGTGGTGGAAAATTTGCCCCTTCCCTTTCCGTCTTGTGTTTTCACTTAGTGTTTGACCCACATAGAGGACCGCACTGAGGAAAGGGAAAAACAAACCATCATGGCCTGTGTGAAAGTGATTGCCCCTAAACCTATACTGGTTGGGCCACCTTAGCAGCACACTGCAACCAAGCGTTGATAACGCAATGAGGCTTTACAGCTCCTGGAGGAATTTTGGCCCACATCTTTGCAGTTGTCCTATCGTTACATTAGAGGGTTTTCGAGCATGAACGGCCTTTTTAAGGTCAACCACAACATCTCAATAGGATTCAGGTCAGGACTTTGGCTAGGCCACTCCAAAGTCTCATTTTGTTTTTCTTCAGCCATTGGTGGTGGACTTGCTGGTGTGTTTAGATCATTGTCCTGCTGCAGACCAAGTTCGTTTCAGCTTGAGTACACGAAGATGGTCGGACATTCTCCTTCAGGATCTCTTGGTAGACAGCAGAATTCATAGTCCTTTTATCACGGCAATCTTCCAGGTCCTGAAGCAGCAAACGCCCCAGACCTCCACTACCACCACCATATTTTACTGTTGGTATAATGTTTTTAGAAATGCGTGTTCCTTCACGCATATATGACACACTCCAAAGAGTCCACTTTTGTCTCATCGGTCCACAGAATGTTGTCCCAAAAGTCTTGGGGACACAGATGTGTTGTGGAGAAATTGAGACGAGCTTTGATGTTTTTTTGCTCAGCAGTGGTTTTCTCCTTGAACTCTGCCATGCAGGCCATTTTTGCCCAGTCTTTTCCTGATGGTGGAGGCATGAACGCTGACCTAATTGAGGCAAGTGAGGCCTGCAGTTCTTTGGACGTTGTTGGTGGGGTTTTTGTGACCTCTTGGATGAGTCCGCCTGCTCTTGGGGTATTTGGGCGGGTGGCCACTCCTGGAAGGTTCACCACTGTTCCATGTCTTCGCCATTTGTGGATATGGCTCTCACTGTGGTTCGCTGGATTCCCAAAGCTTTGGAAATGGCTTTATAACCCTTCAGACTGATAGATCTCATTACTTTCTTTCTCAATTGTTCCTGAATTTCTTTGGGTCTCGGCATGATGTGTAGCTTTTAAGGATCTTCTGGTGGACCTTACTGTGTCAAGCAGTCTCTATTTAAGTGATGCCTTGATTGTGAACAGGTGTGGCAATAATCAGGCCTGGGTGTGGGTAGAGAAATTGAACTCAGGTGTGGACAACCACAGTTATAGTATGTTTTAACAAGGGGGCAATCACTTTTTCACACAGGGCCATGATGGTTTGATTTTTTCACTTTAATAATAACACCTATTTACAATTTATTTTGTGTTTATTGTGTTGTCTTGACTATTGTTTAAATTGGTTTGATGTCAAGCACTAAGTGTGACAAACATGCAAAGGAACAGGAAATGAGGAAGGGGCAAACACTTTTCACACCACTGTATATATATACTGCCATTCAAAAGACGAGCTTTCAAGCTAAAAAATTCACTTTGCAATAACTTACATAAATCACCAACCGAGTTTATTTGAACCCTTTCATACATCGTGTCCAGACTTAAAGCAGTTTTTTAAGGAAATATGTAACAAATCACCTCCAAATCACTCGAGACTAGAGATGCACCGATGTATCGGCCAATAATCGGTACCGATAAGGCAATTTAAAAACATCCGATAATCTTTTAATATTTTATATCCTGACAGATTTGGTTCTGTGTGTAAAGTTGATGTCTCTTGTGTGGAATGACGACAAAACTGCAGTGTGTAATCTCTGCACTGATAAAGTTTGACACCGGACGCTGCAGCAGTGAAGCGGGAGTTTCGGCGTCGGCATTTTTTGTGCCATTTGGCAGATGCTTTGATCCGAGGCGATTTAAGTTTCAGCTGAGCAGTTAGTCGAGGGTTAAAGGTCTTGCTCCAGGGCCCAACAGTAGCTTTCTCACCGAACTGGGATTTAAACCCATCACTCAGAACCTAAACCGCTGAGCCACCACATTATTCGGAGGTTCTTGGCTTTCGTGCAGGACTTCTCTTACAGGTTTGTGAGGTTTGTGAACTTTTCGATCCAAACCGGAGCACCTCAGTTGACCGGACCGTGTACAAATGTAGTCAAATACTTGACATCTTAAAGATGAATTGGTATGATGATACCAATTCTTAAGAATTTAGTTGACTACATTATAAATGTAACAACTTGCAGTCTTCTGTTAGGCTAATTTAAACAAAGTTCTTTGCTAAAATTGTCATGATTATAGATTCGACTTAATGGTAAAGTAATTATTGAGCATACAAGGACATAATAATAATAATAATAATAATAATAATAATAATAATAATAATAATAATAATAATAATAATAATAATAATAAAAAAACTATTATTATTATTTTTTTCCATTTCCTGGTCTTACTGTAAACAGGCTATGCATGTTACATGTGCACACCAACATGCTTCTTTTCTATTCTTTTTTTTTATATTTTTTTTAAATGTATGTACGCCTATACATTTGCTCCTTGAGATTTTTCATTT